TTGTGAGCACAAGTCAGAAAAAGGATTATTTCTCTTTAGTCATCTTCGGAGGAGCATCAAAGAGGCGCCGGCAAGCGGGATAAGAATAGAAAACTGATGCTATTTATAACTTGTTCTAAAGAATGCCTACCAGCCGAAACAATTGCACTGCCTCAGCATCGTTAATACATACACACACACACACACACACACATCCAGCCACAAAAAAGCTAGTAAATAAAACACCAGCACCACCTCAACTACACACACACACACACCTCCTTGACCGGGTAAAAGGCAGACGCAGTGAAAAACAATACCAGCTTCCATATGCATCTTTAAATAGCTTGTACTAGTCATGTCATCTCCCATTATTGATAAGGTGTCTCCCATTAGAATAGAAACAGACCAATCAGCAGGTTTCAACTGATTGCAAGCTATTTCTGTGCCATGCAGTCATTTATTGCTATGTGCGGTAAATTAATGTCCGTAATTGCAGAACTTTGGCTCACTGGCTACTTTTAAATCTTTCATGCAAGTGAGCCATGGCTACCCCACCCTCCAAGCTCACACACATATATGTGCACACAGACACACACTCGTGGTGTAGCGCATCGCTGACAGCTGACTGATGTTGGCCTCATGGAGAACAGTAATCTCCCTTAATTATACATGATGTGTCACAGAGAAGAAGGAGGGAGGAAGAGAGAGATAGAGAGGATGGAGGGAGAAAGAAGATACAGATGAGAGATGTAAAAATAGATAGTGAGAAAAGGTGGCCAGAGGAGTAAATATGAAGCTGAAAGTGGAGCAGAGAATAAGTGGGGTGAAAGAGAGACGAGGGAGGGAAAGAGGAGAAGGACAGATGGGAGGATGCAAAGTAAAAGAGTGGATGATGAAGAAGAGAGGAACTTAAAGGAGAGGAGGTCACTGTGTTTTGTTCTTGAGATGTCTCTCCTGCAGCAGGTCTGACTTAACATTACCGCTGAACATGAGAGCAGCAGGCTGCACACGTTCAACCCCACAGGCTGTAGACACACACACACACACACACACACACACACACACCCTCTCTACCTGCCTTATAGTCTGCTGTCAAGCTATTCTTAGAGTCACAGTAAACAACTTAAAAATAATTATTCTCTGCTGTAGGCTGTCGTCTTGTCGTCATGACCCAGAACCTGAAATCTTTTCAAAAACGTTATCAATCTAAATGTGTTTATAGTAATAAAGAAAACACATCCATTCTCCCTGATACACAAACATAAACACACACACTCAGAACAGAAGAACCCTTCATCCTCCTACTGACATTACTGTAAGGTCTATTACCATCAATAGATCATAGCCTTATATTATAAGTACTATAAGTAATTTTTAAACTTAGCCCTTATTGCATCTATAAATCTTAGAAAAAAGATTGACTGTAAAGAAAAAAACTGTAAAGATGATTGTATTATATGTTCTGTATTTATGGTTATTTATATTTCTCTTGCAATTTTAAAATTAAAAATATTTTGTAAATAGAATCTTTAAAGAAAATGATTATTGTTTTATATAGTTGGTATTTATTGCAATTTATCAGTCACATGACTGATCAGTGACTCGTACTATATGAGGAAACAGACTCAGATACCCTGAGATAGTTGAAAACATTGGTGGTGTGTTTTAATTTGATGAACATGCATTGAAACTCACACTGGGCTGCAATCTCACTGTATGTGCTTTCTAAAAGTAAGAAATTATTTAAATCTTATCATACCCTGTAACAATTAAAACAACTACTAGCACTACTAAACTACTAAATATCCTTAAACAAACCCCCAGAAAACATCTGCTCCAAGTTAAAACGAGTTTGTTTGCAGTTTCATTAAATACAATTTGGGGCAATTCATTCATATCTTGCCCTGCAATCCATTCCAGTCATAAATATTCATCCATTTTTAGGCAAAACTGCGTAAAATTGGTATTTTATAGTCTTCATTTAACCAGGATAATCCAAGCGGTGCCAAACATTGTGCCCCAAGGGAACAAGGCTAATGCACCCATGTTTAATGCAAAGTCAAGAACTGACGCCTTAGAGAGAAGCTGAAGGAAATACGGACATTGCAGGCTCACAAACAAACATTTGCTCACAAACACAACTTGAGAACATTTTTATCACACGACTTTTACAATGGCATTCAATTTAATGCTGTCTTTGGCATCTCATCCTGATGATGATAGAGAGGCAGAAAGGACAAAATAAGAAAGACAGACTGCGACAGTGCAGATAAAGTAAGAGATGGAAGTCTCTGTACAGTGGAAAGAGGAGAAGTGCTGTTGTTAGCATGAGGAGCACAGGATGTCATGAAATATGTAGGAAGGAGCAGCTCAGTACCGGAACACAAAGCCATTAAAGAAAACCCTGGAAAATGCAGTCAGCTAGAAATATAAATGTCCATTTCCCTATCGTGTATAGATACACAAACACACAGCTAAAAGCACCTACACACCTTCGCCGTCTTGGAGCTGAAAAGCCACACTTTAATGTTCTCAGACGTGTACAGAGAGTTTAACACACTTTTGTGCTCTCAAAGCCACAAGCAAGCAGGTATACATGCATGTGCAACACAAAGAAACAGACACAACCTCTCTCTGCTTCTCTTTCTCCTTCTCTCTTAGTGCACTTTACGGCGTTTTGTAAATCATTGATTGGGTACATGTGGAAGACCAGCGAGACATTTAGTTTGACATGCTGCCAGTGTTTTCGGTCTTTCAGGGTCACACAACAAGGCCGGGGCAGCTGACAACTTCTTCTGGGGGCGGCTCAGGATGAGACGAGGTGCTGCTCGGAGCTGCGTTCACTCACTGCGCTCTCAACTCTGTGCAACTCTCTGGGTTGTCAACAAGCTGGTGCTGCTTCAAAGGATTTGGTGCAATGCTGGAAATAATTTAATAGAATAGAATAGTATATACTGTAGCATTGCATCTATTTTTTTAACTGAATCTTCTCCATTACACCCGTGTGTGCTGTATAATTATGAGTCACAATTTGGCAGATTCACAGGATTTGACTTTTACCTCTCTGGCAACAGCTGCAGCTCAGAGCTGGAGGGGACCATGAGCCACAAAGGATCTAATTTGTTTGTGTAAACAGGGGAAACTTCTTTTGCTTTGTTCAGGCAGCCCAAAAAGGTTCCAGTATTCAAATGAGAATAGTTAGAGCCCGCTATCAATTCACTGGATCCAATGATCACTTATTATTCCTTTTATGTCAGTTTTCTAGTTCAGTTTTCTTTCGTTTTACGGTGGTGTTTCGTGCATCAGTTCCTTGTTGGCTTGAGTTAACCCATCGACCCATATATCCATAGCTATACCCACTTATTCACTGGGGGGTTGCAGGAGTCTGGAGCTGATCCCAGGACAGGTCACAAGTCAATCACAGGGCTGACACATTGAGATGGACAGCTATTCACACTTACATTCACACTTACGGGCAACTTAGAGTTGCCAGTTAACCTAACTTACATGTATCTGGATTGTGGGAGGAAGCTGGAGCACCAGAGAAAACCCTACACCGGCACAAGGAGCGCATGCAAACTGCACACAGAAAGACAGCCAGAAGGTTCGAACCTTCTAGCTAACCCCTGCATAACAAATCTAAGGCTTCATGTCTGGTCAGAAACACTGAGCTAAAGTTCATGTTAACAGCTACAAGCTTGGCTCAATTATCAGAAAACCAGAGGCCTTCCAACCACAGTTCAGAGCTACAGTTCTGGGAAGGCAACAACA